ATGTCTGCGTACAATATCTTTTAAATGATCAATTAGTGTGTCTACCGTTAGCGGAAGTTGAAATTAATTGTTAACTTGGTCATAGACAAAGGCAGATGTTGTTACAAATGATCCCGGCAAATATGTATTGGGTAACAAAAGTGCCCAATTGTTCAAAGATAAATCATTCTTAAATTTAGAAAAAATAAATGTGGGTTTGACACAATCTCAAGTAAAAATATCTCACGAAGAAAATTGAAGTAGAGAAACCGAAATGGAGAAACTAGAAGAACTGACGTTTATTAAGACTGACGAAGATATTTTACCGCAAGCCGATGAGGAAGACAAGGAAATTAAGAAAGTGATTAATGTTAATATTAATGTTAATTCTAAGAAATTAATTAAATCTCAGCATCAAAGCAGAGATCTAGCCTCATTGCTTAGCGAAGCTAAAAATGAAAATTTCAGAAAGACAAATGATTTAAAGTAAGGAGAACAGGTTGTTGGTGTAAAAGAAATTAAAGAAAAATGGAAATGAAAGGGAATTAATTGCTATTCCTGAAAAATATGGGGATCAAATGCAGAACTATACATCTTTGATACAGAACTAAACAAATACTAGTGCTAAAACTCACGGTAATTTGGTCAATACTCACCCTCCTAAAGGTCAAGCTTCTGTCAATGCTTCACAAAAGTCTGATAAACAATCTAAACGTTAATCTCCTGATGAGAAAACTGAAGTTATTGATATGGAAGTTGACTCACCTTATTTACCTGCTGATTCATCTTCTGTGGATAGTGTGGTGTGATTATTCCCCTACAAGTTCCCCAGTTCCTTCTTTTCCAAAAAGCAAAGATGTGTTTGACAGTTTCTTAATAGCAGATCAAAGAACTTCTGTTAAAAGAACTCATGAAGGTGCTTCTAAAGCTAAGAAATTAAACATACATTCAGAATCTAAGCACACGTCAGAAAACTTAGCAAAGAGGCATAAACATGATAAAGGATACTCAAAGTTATCATATTCAATGGGAATGCAACAGATGAGAACAAAAGTTCATCTCGCAAAAAGCAAAAACTATCTGAAAAGAACTGACAAATTTAGCCGATTCTCAGTTAAAAATTCTAGATAAATCGCCAAGTCCTGCATTTGAGATTCAAATCAAGGAGAAGTTTTCAAAGAAATTAAACAGACAAGAGAGAGTTGTTAAAGAAGTAAAACTGCCGCAAAAGTCTCTATTACATTCACCTGATTTCAACAAGGAGTTTATTTTGCAAATTGATGTTTCAGACTCTGGTATAGGTGTCATTTTAGCTAAAAAAGATGAACGAGAAAATGAACATCCAGTATTATACCTCAGTAAGAAGTTTACAGAAACTGAAAAAAAGTACTCTACCACAGAAAAAGAATGCACCGCCATAATATTTGCTGTAAAGAAACTTCAATGTTATTTAGACAAGCATACTAAATTCCTCATCATGACCGATCATAATCCCCTAGTTTGGCTCAAAAATACTTTTAGTCTAAATCCACAACTTATGAGATGGGCACTAGTACTACAACCCTACAATTACATGGTCGTTCATCAAAGTGGTAAAAACTATAAAAATGTAGACGCATTAAGTCGTACTCCCTGGCCTGATTTAATAATTTATTTCCCTATAAAGATAAAAGAATATTTTGTTCTTTCCTCTTTTCCTTACTGTATATTATTATGTTATATGTAGTATTTCAATTACGTATTGTGTTCATATTCTGTTGTTTTGAAAAAAAAAATGTAAACTTTAATTTGTAAAAATATAAATTAAAGTCTACAATTTTACTTTAATTTATAAAAATATAAATTAAAGCTTATCTGGAGGGGGGAGAGGTTGTAATATTTTTTTAATTAATAAATAAATATATCTATTATTGAACTGGCAATGCCATATTTTTATGATGTAACCATTGCTCAGCAACGTAAGAAATTGTTTTAAAATGATAATTCTGAAGTTTTACCAGCTAGTAGATGCATGAAAAATTTGTAACTAAAGACTGTATTCAAATTATCTATCTCCGTAAACTAAAAATAAAATTTATGTTTTACTAAGAAAATTATCTGTTATTTTAACAATTACTGCAAAATGAATTACAATACCCAAGGCATAGCTCCATTACTAGAATATTAAATATAAACTCAAAATTAATGATTTTATGTTAATTCAATAGAATTATTGTGAAGAAAGAATACTTGCAACCCACTATCATTTTTACATAGATTTTTTTTTTTTTTTTTTTTTTTTTTTTTTTTGTATCTGAGTTATTTTATTTTATCATGCACCAGAATGGTTTAATACTACACAGACTAAAAAGATTCAAACTGAAGAATCAAAACATTAGAAACAGGGACAGGAAATATACATTGTCATTCCTGAATAAAATGAGATACATTTAAACTACACTACAAACAGATACATATCTGGGCTTTCTGAAACATGCTAAAACTGATAATAGGAGTAAATGTAAAGAGATTCATTTCAGGATATTCAGGGGATTTTGATCAAGGATATAATCAGCATAACAGTGATAAGTCACTCAATGCTGAACTGATGTGATCATGGGATTCTCAAGGACAACCATGTTAAGGGTCTATTGTGGGTATATCAGCAACCACAATGCAAAAAGCAATAGCCATCATACAGACTGGGCACTGACCTCTATGAGCTATCTTGATCAGTTTGGTTTCATGGAAAATGATCCTTGCATAATTGGAAGATTGACAACCCAATCACTATGTATTTGATACTACATTTACCTCCAACTACCATCATCAGCTGAAAACTGTCATGCACAGGCAGCTAAAACCTGCAAAAACAGACTGGCAATATCCTGCAAAGCCTGTATCTACAGGCCTCTACTTCACATACTCTCACAAACAGATATACACTGGAATGTTTTGTTACCAGTATTCAACACCTTCAACTATATCAAGCCACTGTATATATTCATGTACATTCTAGTCAACCCAATTTTGTAATTTGTTTCTTGCTTCTTAATGTATAATATTTAAAAATTTGTACTGATTTCATCTTTAACATTTACACCATCCTGCCAGTATTATATTTGTATGCCCAACTTACATTATAATACTGAATAGTATTGTAACCACCATGTACTTTCCCTCCTTGTTCTAGTGTCAAGTCCCAAAAGACGTTGCATTAACTCTCTGAGTGGTGTGATGTTTTAGATCTTCTCAGAAAGATGCAAAATTAAACAGTTTTTATTAGTTAAATTTCTATAATCACTAATTCTAGTCTCTAATTTCATAAACCATTTATTAAGATGAAATTTACATCATTAAAGAAAGTACGAAAGAAAAATATTTTAAATAATAAACTAATATATATCAAGGGTAAAAAAAACTCCTAACTAGATAAAGGCAGTCATGCCCCTCAGGGGGTTAAATTCTAATTTTTTTAAACCTATCAACTGAATCCAACAGGCTGATAAGCACCTAACCCAGTGTACCAGCTACTCTGTTAATGGTGGGGGGAAAAAAAAAAAAAAAAAAAAAAAAAAAAAAAAGGAAAAGAGCATTTAAAAATATATCCAGAACCAATTTCAAAGCATTATAAAAAGTCAGCAAGAGATGATACAATACAGATTACAAATTACAGAAGCCAATGTCCTTACTTCTATAACTAGTGTTTACTGTGAAAATCAAAACTTGCATCCTTGAGAGATGCTGGGAACATTGAAACTGAAATTATGGACTCATATTCAAGGAAATTGGTTCTGTTAAATTACAAAGATGATTCTGTGATAATGGAAAGCCATCTTATGGGACATAACAAGTTCTTTTATGATATACAAAAAAAGTCTTTAAATAATGTACGCAACTAGAAAGTAATGGCTGATTATTTATCTATCATGACCTTTCTGAATACAGATAAAGCTGATTTACTTCAGCAGAACAGTTAGTGTTCTACTCACCAACCACTATCATATAACTCCAGGAACATTAAAATTACAATAAGCATGGCTTGGAATTTCTCCAGCAAACTTTGACATCTAAGGTAAGCTTTTGTATAGGAAGAGGATTTACATACTACCATGAAGAAGACATACATCTAATGTTTTGGTTATTCAGTATATCATTTATGGCTTGTTCATATTTAGATTAGTATTTTAATTTTATATTTGCTTTTATAACATACAGCTGAAAATATTTAACATATTTTAAATAACGTTCAAATTAATGAATGTTAGTTTTATGCTAAGTACTAACAAAAAGCATTTCAGAAAAAAAAAAAAAAAAAATCCACTGGCATTTACATACAGAAACTATACTATGCACATAGTGTTCAAAGTTTGTATAGTTCTCACCATTTTTAGTTAGCTTCTCAAAGTTTTCTATAAGCTACTGTTGGCCATTCTTTTCAATACAAATTCAACAGGAAGTGCACTTTTAGCAGTTCATTCAAACTGCATGTCTTGTTAACATTAGAGAAAAAATTCAGTCATAGATAATGTGGATCACTGTAACGTGTTCTGTACAATATGTACAATAATCTCTGGGATATACACATTGAATACTGTACATTAATGCATAGGAGATGTAATTCTGATGTAGCACAACTTAAAGTTCTTTCCTTCTGCTTTCGAAAATAATAGCAGTTATTTCTATAGCAATAAATATATTGCAACAAATGGAAAGCTAAACCATTATTCAGAAAACACGTGAGTCAAGAAGAATATTAAGGTCAATGTAAAAATATGTAATGCAAAGAATAATAATAAAAAAAAAAAAAAAAAAGTTTTACAAAACTTTACCCTACTTAAATATAAAAAAGATTTAAATTGAGAAAATTTTTCTCTATAACAATATAAATTGAAATAATTAACTTTTTCATTAATCCTGTATGACAATTTAACTAATCTGTGACTTAAAATATGTTTAATAATTCCATAAGAACTTTTGGAATCATGTAATACAGAAAATGCTAGAGTAACAATGAAGACATAATAAAGTAAGCTATGATCTTTACAGAAGCAAGGTTACCAATTTCCTTTAATGATAAAAACTCCAAAGGACTCTAATAAAACATACTTCATTACATTAACAGATTACTTTGTAGTAACAAATTTTCAAGCATGCTAATGCTGGAAATTATAATTGCTCTTTTAGATACATTTTCTCTTTCTTTTAACTAACTAAAAAGTAACTCTATATTATTTTTGATGTAATTGTAATTTTGTAAATATCAAAACAACTTGTTCACAATATACATACAATAATTTAAAGTATAAATACACACATAATGAGACAAATGTTAAATAACTGTGCATTATTAAATAACAAGAAACAGCACTAGAATAGCCACACATTGTGCTGCATTACAAAACCTTCCAAGAAAGAAAACACAATGCATATTTTTATCATAAAATATTAAAAGTAATTCATTTATGTTAAAATTAACAAAACCATGAAAACATATTTACAGAAGTTCTTTTTTTAATAAATTAGTTGAAAACCTTTAAAACTTCATCAAAATTCTGAAATGCATGTTTGCAAGATTGTAATTCATACATTTTTTTAAAACTGATAAATTCATTATAAAATAATTTTATTTCTTTATTTTAAAATAGTTTCAATATAAATTTCCTGAGTTAAAAACCTAACCTTTGCTTTTAAAAAAAGATTATTAATTCAGAAAGACATTTGCATTTATTTTTATAAAAATTTAATTCATTAAATACTTTTTCTTTACAACAGGCAGCCATAAATTAGTACAGAACTACTTATATTACTTTATGATTCTGACAATTATCTACAGTGTTAGTTCAAATTTAAGTTTCATTAGATTCTTAAAATTGGAAAATTGTAAAAATTAATAAAATTAGTTGGCTTGGAATTTAAGAATAATAGAAGTTCAAAATTGGAAAACTGGAAAAATAATAAAAAACAGGTATGATTTTATTTTGTTTATGTACCAACATAAACAAAACAAACTACTTAATTTATTTACTATCTTCTTCACATATATTGTCAGCACCTTCACTTTCAGAACTTAATTCTCATCTTCACTAGTGCACCAGAGCATATCACCTTCAGTGCCACTTTAATCATTAATAATACAATATCTAAAAAAGGGGAAGGAGAAAAAGATTTTTTTGATAATTTCTTCAGGGCTATCTTTTCAAGAATTGCCGAGGATCTCCAAGAATTTCCAAGGTATTTAAAAAAAAAAAAAAAGATGAAGTTGAGAAAATAAATAAATAAAAATATTTGTTTTGAATTTAAGATATATCCTAACTTTGTGTCTTAAAAACCTAAATAAGAAGTGCAGCTCAAGTCTGAAGTTACATGACACATAAAATTGTGCATTATTTAAAATAACAAAAGTGAAATTCAGATAAAAATTTTAGTTTTGATACTGCATTAATATTTCAGATTTGATTCTAAACAAACATTCGAATTTGGAACTTTCTTAACACTGTTCAAATGCAATCATACATTTTAAATTTAAAACACTGTCAATACTTTGACATAAAAAAACATAGTTCCCCACTTTGTAAAATTCATAAATTTCAAATTTTATAACAATTTGCACTGTATTATTATTCATTTTCATCATTCCCAAAAACATGTAACCTCACTCTTCATATGCAATTTTTATTTCAGGAAATCTGCAGATCAAAAAATCATTAAATGTGAAACGATACTGTTTTCCACATCACGTAGTAACTATTTTTCCAGTGTCTTCTTTTCCTTTATAAGTAGCTTTGCCAGTTGTCCAAGGCAAATACCGATATTTAATCATGTGCTAAGAGAAAAGAATTCTATAAATTTTATGCAAATGATTTTAAAAAAATAATAAAGAAGAATACAAATCAAATCATATATAAAAGTAATTACTCATAATTATATAGATTACTGTTTGCAATATTTATAAGTTTTATGCAGTCAATCCTTTCCATAATATAAATATACTACAGATCGATTTATTCACAAACAAAAATGCATAAACTGAATCAAATCTGAATTAGCTTAAATCCAGGGAAAAAAAAAGAATAAATTGTACAGGGAATTCCATTGGTAGTAACTTGCTAATGTTTAAATCATAGAATATAAAAAGGAATTACTCATAATTATATATATTTACTTTTATGCAATTATTTATAAAGTTATGAAAGCAGAATTCCTTTTACCATAATAATAAATAAATACTACAGATCGATTTATTTCACAAACAAAAATGCATAAACTGAATCAAAATCTGAAATTATGCTTAAATCCAGGAAAAAAAATAAAGAATAAATTGATACAGGGGAATTCCATTGATAGTAACTTGCTAATGTTTAAATGCTTACCTTACTGCTGCAATCACGTATAACCCAAGTAATTTTCTATTAACTGAATTGACTGGTTATTTGATTGAGGCAAAGCATGCAAATGATATCAGCCTAAAGAAAGATGCCAGCATGCAGGATGCTCTAAGGAAGCCTGGTCAATACCCATATTATACATAGGGAAAACCATGAAAAAAATCAAACAGCCAGCGATTTTCCTCTAAGAACAAGTTCAATTTTGTTCTTTTGCTCCAAGTGCTCTACATTTGTCATTTCTTAAAACTTTTGTTATTACTATGTATTTAAGCATAATATTAATGTAGCTAATACATTGAATAGAAGCCAGCATGACAGCAACAAGCAGAGAGAGAAAGGGAGAATGGTAGGGAAGTAAAGCAATGGTGAGGAAACAGACAAAAGGGTAGTGGATATTATGTGTTTGTATAGCATTGTTGTTACCATGAATAAATAAACTTAAAAAAGAAAGACACCAGGTTCCATAGGCCATTTTAGCAAGAGAACTAAGCATTGATATGATGAAGTGAGGAAAGGTGGGAAAATTGATATAATTAACCAAGGAAAGATGGAACTGTGGAAAGGTGGATATTTTCCACATAACCTCTCGCCCCTTTTAAATTAAGGTCCTTGAGTCCTAAGTAATAAAATGAAGACCATCCACTTTTCCAAGTCTATGACATATCGACAAACAGTCATGCATGTGCTTACTTCCAAACAATATACATCATAACAAGAAATTGGTAGAAGTATAGCAATAAATATGGACAAACACAAAGATGAGAGAAGGAAATTGGTTTAAACAAGCCAAATATACACTTATAACACTGTATGATTTAACTCCTGGAGCAATGAATTAATGCTTATAGTTCTCAGGTTTTTCATTAGGAATTTTGGAAAATCAATTAATGCTCTACATAGGAATCAAATCTGAGAGTTCTTAATTACTAGCTGGATGTACTATATCACACCACTGCAGACACCTTGTGCTAGGCTTTCTGCTGCCTCGTACAATCTCTAAATCAATGTGGTTATCAATCATATTTCAATTCAGTTACCCCAGCACAGTCATTAAGTTTTTTTGAGAGCAGAAACCTAAAAAAATCATCAGGATCCTCACAGATAGAAAACTTCAACCTTTTAGAAGTAATTGGGATATTCTGACTACAAAACTTCAAGTACACATGGAACAAATTCCTCAGTTGATCAAATTTTGACAAATATAACTGGATACAGTGAATAAAATTATGAAATACCAGAACACAGCTTGTGATGGCTATGCACTTCCAAAGAGAGGAGAAAATGAAAAAAATAGGGAAAAAGATATTAAAAAGGAAATTATTTACTAACAGTAGAAACTAGTTACTGTTTCAACAGTAATCACCAGTACCAAGTAATACGTTGAGTACCAATAAATGTTTCTTTCACAATTCAATTGAAAAAATATGTCAAAATTATTTTTAAAAATAGATTAAAATTAAATAAAATATCATCATAAGTAATGCTCAGTAAAAGAATGAAATACTTTTTTTTTTTTTAATATTCAAGAGAAAATATGTTCAGTGAACATAAATTGATTTTAAAGGATACTATTAATGAACTTAAAAAAGTAGTTTCACATTGAGATACTTTCAATGCTAATTCCAAGAAAGATCATCCCACTTCACCCAAAAATACAACAATACACCATAATACACCAATATAACCAAAATTGAGAGCCATAAGGCTCACTAATTTTGGTTAAGATAATTCCCCAGTCTTTTACCAAGATGTTTTAAGTTATGATTTGATCAATAAACTCTATAGCTATATTAATTACTTCCAACTCTTCTTACTTTTACACAAACTGTTCAGCTGCTAAATTCAAATGCACAATTTGTAATAACAAATAAACTGCCAATATGATCTCTACCAAACATCATCAATAAATACTCATGGACCTTATAAGAGATAGACTAACCCAGTGGGCGGGACACGCGTCAACGACATGTCGGCACTGGTTTACTTTAACACTGAAACCTATGGCGTTTGTATCACATCACTCTTTTTAATTATTAAATGTTATACATTGTAGTGTGATGAGATTATGAGCCACCAAATAGTTGTATATTATCCATATATATTTTAAATATTTAATATATAATTAAGCACGTTTTACTGCTTTCGTGCCTTTTTTCAAGAGTATCTTGTACAAACATCTTACTTGGTAAATGGTGAAACTCTAGACACAAATTTATGACCTTAATTGCGTAAATACATAAAATTAAATAGATTGATAGTATGTGACGCTTGGAAAAATAAGGTAAAATAAACAAGATTTGATAACTTTTTTAAAATAAGACCCTTTTCAGGCAGTGATTTTCAAAACTAAAAACATTACAAACAATCATTTATTTGATTATATCATCATTAACTTATTAACGTTAAAGTGAATATTTATTTTAATAATTCATAAAATTCGGAGTAGAAGCTTCTCAGTGTAAGGGTAACGGAAAAAAGCATAAAATAAAATTTGGAAGCACTCAGATTTCATATTACGCCCAAAGCGATACCTTTTGTTAACGTTTTGTGTGTTACCTTTATTTATTGAATATCATGTTCTTCTCACATAAACCACAGAAAATTCAATTCAACAGTAATATGAAAATATTTGAAAACAGCATATCTTTAGAGTTTCCTCGCTGGAGATAAAAATGTTATTTTCTGTACATGCTCTCTCTGAACTCGTGAGTTTGTTAATCAAAAAAGTAAGTTTCACAAATATGAAATAGATTAAAACAAATTCGAAATCAGCCATCCAGACACCTAGGTACTGCCCTTTGGGCTAATAAATTAAATTAACAGTAACAAAAAAATCTTAGCCTAAAAAAAATAAAAATAATCACTATAAAATAAGGCAAAATTATTATCACAGTTAAATACAATTTTAATATAGAATTAAATGTATAAAATTATTAAGGAGTCAAAAGTGTTATACTAGTGGTATTATGAAATATAAATTGAAATAAAATTCCTTTATAGAATTGTGCTATAATATTCATTTCTAATTTCAAAAAAGCAGCACAATTTAGAATTAAACGAACTTTCAGAAATTCGTTTTTAAATATTTTAGTATTTTTACTTATTTACCCAATAAAAAGCATAAATGAAGAGAAAATTGCTTTTTTAAATTTCTATTAGTTCAGATTTAAAATATTATTTTCTAAAAGTAGTAGTTATAAATTTCCTTACGCATAGGAAAAGCTAAAAAATATCCAGCCCGAAAGTATGCAAGTTGATAATTATTTGGAACGTTAATATGCTTGATAATATGCTAAATTTTTAAAAATCAATCTCAGTTTCAAAAATAAAAATATGTAGAAATTCTAATTAGTGAAATGAGGCGCTACAACCAACTTTTTCTTAACAATTATACAGGCTGCAATAGGCAACCACTGCTAAATTTCTGCAAGTCGTCCCTACTTCTTCAGGTGTGATCAAGGTGACAGCCGGGAAAGCCTCAGACGAGAGAGAAAACCCATTTGGGTTAGTCTATTTCTTATAAGGTCCATGTAAATACTCCACATTTATTATTTTGATCCTCATTCTTCCTATTTAACCTCTTGATCTTTCCTGTGGCATAAGCTACAGTATGCCGAAATACTGCCATTACAACAAGTAAATTCCAATAAGCAAATAAACAGTTTTCCATGGTGATAGAGGCATATTTAACACATCTTGCATGAGTGTTTTCTCACCAATCCAGGTAGTGGGCAATTTTTTGCAATTCATGCACAAAATAAGTGTAGTACTAGGCCTTCCATAACATACGAAATCTGTCTCTTGTCATTATTTTTGGAAAAAATTGGTATTTCTATACATGGATCTGTGCTCCAATGATCCTCTTTTCAGTCCTTATGCATTTGTCCCATAAGAAGAATAAGCCCCACAATTTTTTTCATGTACTGTAATATCTTTCCATTTGAAGGTTTTCTTGGAAGTTGTGAGTTTATCAATATTTTGATATTAATATCTATTTGATTCCTTTACAAGAAATGTAAAAACATTATCACCAATAAATGAAGCCACAGCATCCGCTACACTATCCAGAATATTTCCGTATTTATTCCTGTGTGACCTGAAACTCTCCCAAGACTGGGGGTTTGTCAACTGACAACCATTCTTCTTGAGTATGTGTGTATGTGTTTATGGCAAAGCCTCTAGGGCTATATGCCTTCGTGGACTGGCTTGTATACACGTTACACATGGGGAAAACCACAAAAACACCCATGCAGACAGCCCGTTCGCGGGATTAGAACCTCTGACCGAACTTCCAGTGTTCAGTGACTTTACCGCTCGGCTGCTGATGGGCCCCATTCTTCTTGAGAATCAGAATCATCCAATCTGGGCTTGAATCAGAACTGCCCGAAATTCTTTGGAGATAATAGTCCTGGAAAGATGTATAATATCATCCTCACCAGAATCCTTATGAATAACCTCGTCCTCGTAATTCAACAAACTATCTGTACATAATTCTTCACCATCACATTCTATTTTATTATTGTCTACCATTAGGATTTTTTTTTTACTTATTACGAGTTCCACTCTTAGGCACTACACAGAAAGGGGGATGCCCTGTGGAGGTCTTTTTAAGGGAAATTGGCTCGTATCCACGTTGCACATGGAGAAATCCCTGAAAACACTCATGCAGCCAGCCCGTTCACAGGGACTCAAACCCCGGCCTGAACTATCAGTGTTCAGCGGCTTTTACTGCTTGGCCACTGGTACACATCCTTAGGAATTTACCATAAAAAATTCAAATTAGTCTTGGAACACATGAGCGCTAAATCGATGTGCCTCGTGTGTTCCCAGACTAATGAACTTGCCAGATGAACCAGACTCGCCTGATGAAAATCAGTTATATGGATGCACTTGTGGACAATATATGAGTGGTGTGCACTTGGCAAAATAGTCAGCTGTATAGAGTGTGTCTGCTACTCAGCTTCCCAGATTTATGTCAATACATAGCTGGAAGCTCTGGCGTTTAATGCTACATTCAGTGGAACATAACAGTGTCAGCAAAGTCAGTGTTAATGTTGAAATGCACTTTGTTGACCAGTTGCTTATGTGTACCCGACCTTATTGTAACAACATTATAAAATACCACTGATAACAATAATACACCAATAACTCATAAAAAAACAACTTTTGTTGCTACCCGAACTTGACTACCAATCTGCACAAAACGATTTTAGTCACATCCTACACTAGACTACCAATCCACACAAAATGACTTTAGTCACTTTCTGCACAAGATGTGCCCAAGAAAGATCATCCCATTGCGAACAAAATACAACAATAAACAATATTTGAGAGCCATAAGGCTCAGTTAAGTTATATAATTTTAATTAAGATAATTCCCCAGTCTTTTATCAAGGTGTTTTAAATTATGATTTGATCCAATAAAGTTTATAGCTATATTAACTGCCTTCCATTCTTTTTACTTTTACACAAACTATTCAGCAGCTAAATTCAAACATATGATTTGAAATAACAAATAAACTGCCAATATTATCTGTACCAAATGTCATCAATCAAAACTCCACATTTATTATTTTGATCCTCATCCTTCTACTTTAACCTTTTGATCTTTCCTGTGGCAAAAGTACAGTATCCTGAGATACTGCTATCATAACAAGCAAGGTTCACCAAGCGGCATTAACAGTTTTTCATGGTGATAAGGTAAATTTAATATTATTTGCTGTATTTTTTATCACATTACCTTCTGTCAATATATTAATCAAAGATTTATTTAAAGTGCAATTTTAATTTTTATGGAGAATGAGAAGGGAAAGTTAATGTAAGAAAGATTTTTAAAGATTAACAGTTCTCACATATAAAAAGAGTAAAATGCAGATATAAGCTACATCTGATGTCTTCAATGAAAAGTAATTTTACATTCAGACAAGAATAGAAGACTGGAGAAACATTTTAAGAATTTCAAAATTTCATTTTCTGAAATAATTTCTTCAGAAAACATCTTGAAGCATTTCTAAACAGGAACTGCTTTTCTTGAATGTTCTGAATCATTTTCATGCAGATTCAGTACTGTAGTACTTACAGTTAAAATAGTAGCTTTAGTAATTGTTTCTCAATTGATATAAAATTCCATTTTCATTCTTTAAAATCAGTACAATTTGAAAAGATATACAAACTAGCAAAAATATGAATTAAGCACACAAAGTAAAACAAATAATTCATAATACATTTTATACAAATAGAAGATAAAGTAAAAGAAATCAAAATTAAGTGAGGAAAGACATAAAAGCATTGTTAGTAATTCAGAAAACATATAAAATGAGATAACTGATGATATTATACCAATATTTTAGATGAAATTACAAACACAAAAATAAAAAAATTTGATGTGGACACTACATGACTTCTTTGTATGGCTTATTAAATTTTACACATATTTACTGCACTTCATTTAAACTTATTTCTTTGTATTTCAATAGAGACATATTTCTCATATAATTAATTCAGTTCTCACTATGCGGCAAGGCAAAAATACAGAAAATCACAAAACATCTTCATTAAAAATAATAAAACACAGAAAATAAAACACCAAACACAGTAAAACAGTTTAAAAAAATTTTACAATTAAAATTAGAGTTTCTATGCAAAAACAAGCACTTCGGCCAGCAAGCAAGAAAGAATACTTTTTGGTTCAGATTAACTAAAGGCATAAAAACATTAAAAAACCACATAATTCAATCAATTTTAAGGCAAAAAAAAGCACACTTTATCAACTTATAAGAATAAAAAAAATCAGTTCACCGAACAAGAAATATATATATATATATATTTATGTATAATTGGTACAACTGATTGCAATGGGTGTGTGTGTGATTATGGCAAAGCCTCGGGGGCTATTTGCCTAAGGGAAGGGATGCCTTCGTGGAGGACTTTCTAAGGAAAACTGGCTCGTATACACGTTACACATGGGGAAAACCACGAAAATGCCCATGCAGCCAGCCCGTTTGCAGGATTCGAACCTTGGATCGAACTACCAATGTTCAACGACTTTAGCGAAAAAAAAATTAGGTGCACAATTACATGTTATAGCAGTCCCATATACAAAATTTCAACATTTTACGGCTACTCGTTCTTGAGTTATTCGAGATACATACATATGTATGTATGTATATATAAATGTCATGGAAAAAAAAAATTCTTCTGAATCCATTTTACAATCCTTTTTGGCAAAAACAGTCCTTTATTTTGTCTCTAGCACAGATGTCAAGCAAAAACATCTTTCAAATGGTTTCGGGGAGTGGATGAAATGAATATTTTCTTTGAAATATGACAGCCAAAATTTTTGTGATTATAATACTTCCTTTACTTCATACAAGGAAGTAAAAATTAATGAAATACCCAAGATTTTTAAATGGCTTCCCTTTGTACAAACAGGTACTTCATACCCCCCAAAAAAGAGTTGCCATTATATTTTTAAAATACTGTAGCTCAAATTTCCAATTGCTCCAAAGAAAATAAAGCTAACAGGAGTTTCTTTTCAATAAAAATGAAAATTGTATTTTTTTAATTGAAAAAAAATAATAATAATAATAAAAATCATATATTTCAAAGAAATAGAAGTTATTAGTAGAAAGTTTTAAATATAACATACCTTAATCTGTCTCTTCATTGTCACACAGAACAAAAGTATGAAATACAACAACAAAATAGGCCAAAAAACAGGTATATTGAAAAAGTCAAAAAAGGTACAAAATGTTGCAACAAAAATTGCCCATGTAGCTGAATACCTACAGGAAATAAGAAATATATATATATAATGTTATGACTCAAAATCGTTAAAAATAAATAAATAACACTTAAAATGGGAATAAAGTACTGATAGCTTACCAAAATTTAAATTCTGGTAATCTTCGAATGAATGGTCTAAACTCCTCATTTATAGTAGTAGGTAATTCTGGACCATCATCTAAAATAACAAAAATTCTATAGTTATATTAGAAAAAATTACTATGATTACTCGTAATCTGGGATTAACAAATTTGTGAATTGAAAAATGGAATCGTAGCAAAAATAGAAAGTAAAAAATGAAAACTGCATATTTATTCAAAGTGAAAAAGAAATATAAATTAATGTTTTTGTAACCTAACAAAGAAACTACAATGATACACAAAAAATTAAGTGAAAGCTAACATCCTTGTGTAATGTCAATATTCTCTTCAAGTCTTTTGTTTACTCAAGAGAGAAGATAAACACCCCACAGTAAAACTTATAATCAGACAAAAGAGAAACCTTATGTTTGGCATAAATTTTAATAAAAACTCTACTGATTTCAAGGGTGATAAGACACATATTCCTCTTTTCAGGAGTAAGGAAACTTTTGCTCCTGAAAAAGACAGATATAAATATTTTTCAATTTGAAACACGCAAAAATTTGACTAACTCAACAAAAAGTTAATGAAAGACAACTATTTATCATTTGTATAAAGTCAACTATTTATCAAATATTAATGTTATAATTTGTTCTTGAAATTTATGTAGTTTGAAAGACATTACAAGAGTATGGGACATTCACAATAGCAAGATGGTTTTTGATTTGGGGGGAGGAAAGAGAGGAAAAGGGGAAAAAATAGTAATCCAAATAACTAGCACAACAGAAATGATAAACCTAAAAAGGCATTTAAAAATAACATATACAAAGGAACAGTTCAGCAATTTCTTAATCTCAAGAAACTTACCAAAATCTTCATGAGTAGCAGGATCAATTTTGGGAGACAGGAATGCAATAAATAAACTCAGATGGTATATTCCTAAAGCATAAGTGATTATGTACCACCCCTAAAAAATATTTTGAAATTATTATTAATCAAAATGCACTTTTATCTATTTTACAAACAGTTCTTATCTGCCTTTTGGGGGGGGGAAATTCACTCCTATGATCGATGCACCATAAAAAAATTAATTTTTTTCAAGCTTTAACCTAGATGATAGCATTTTAAAGCATTTCCTCATGTCATTTACCTTCTCGGTTTTTATCTGTCACCTTTCAAAACCAGTAAATAACTCTAAACTCTCCAAATTTTACTTTTCCAAATATTTTTAAAAAATTTTACTACATAAACAGATATTTGGTGATATCATTGCAAATATCATGAAATAATACTCTTAACTGAAAACTCTTGCATATATTAATATTAAACTAGATGGTAATTACAACAATTACATTCTTCTATATCAGGGTTTCTTAATCTTTTTTTCAGCCGTGACCCCTTTTTATCACTGATATTCTTTCACGACCCCAAGGACCCCATAAGCATTGCGCAAATCCGACACATGCTTGTGTGAAACTCAATTTTTCACTTGTACTGTAATGTACTGTTGCAGTTTTAGGCCATTAACTTTAATTTCTAATTTTAAGACATAGAACAATGTGAAAATTTTAAATAAGTTACAGACGAAATGACAAAAGCAAGTAAAATTAACATTTCTATTCTAAAAAGAATGCGTCAAAACGTTTCCCCCCTTTTTTTTGTCTGCATTGTCTTAACTTTATCCATTTTCAGATATATTGTGTAAAAATATTTGGTAATTGTAAAATTATTATAATACGTTAAAAGAAATATCAAAACTGCTAAATTTTTTGTGACCCCCTGCTGCAGGTCCCGTGACCTGCAGCAGGGGGTCACAAAAATGTTCTATATGATAAAACATTTAGGAAATAAATCAAAAACAAAGCAAATTTTCTTCATTACAATTTACATTGTCTGAAAACTGAGAGAACTTGTTTAGCTACAAAAACAATTTTTAAATGGTAAAGATATACATTTGTGAAGTTTTTATTAGCATAATAAATTATAAATACTATTTAATTAATGTTGGATAGTGCAATCACTAAATTTTAAATGCAAATGTACAAAAATATGTATTGAAAATAATTTTACTACTTGAAATGTTTTATAGAAAAATAATAGTTTGATCCATTTTTGTATAATTGCTAATACCAGTATCAAATTTTGCTTTCTTTATAAAAGAACTATCATAATTATTACTATATTTTATTCATAGCAATTGCCCATAAGCTTGCTTTTGCTAATAAAAGTTTTCCCAGTGGGTCATCATTCATACTGGATCTAAATTTGTCCTTGTTTCAGTAACAATACTGAAAATTACCTCACACTCTGAATTGTTATAGGGAACTGTCAAGACAACCAACATGACTTTACATAATTCACTATATTTTAAAATTCCATCAGCAATTTTCAACTTTCTAATTACATTCTATAAAGTAACAATTTCTTGTTGATTTTATAGCTTTATCACAGTTTTTCTAACTGTAAAGCTGTGATCAGAATTTATCTTTTGCAGGCTCCACCAGTGCCTATGCAGTAAGACTATTGAATACTGGTAGATAGATCCAGATACAAATCCAAACAAATGGGTTGACAGCATGGTTGACTTTTGTGGTTTTTCCCATGCATAAGATGAATAGTACTAGATAGTTTCCCGTCCCTTGGACAGATGGCTCTTTGCTGTAATCAAATAACCTTTGAAAACTAAGTGAAACAAAATTGGAAATCTATTCAAGAAATATATTACATCAGAAAAGGATGTAACTGCTAGAGTGAAAAATCTGCAACTTTAGCATATAAAATTACTTCACGGTTAATAAGAAATTTAATACAATGTAAGCCCATCCTTTGCAAAAGTAACTTCTAATATGTAAATAAAATTTCTTTTTATTCTGTACTGGAAGCTCTTTCACAACTTTGTTATCAGCAGCCCTGATCTCGATAATTCTTTTTTACTATATTTCCTGATACACAGAAAAAGAAAATAAATAAAAAAGGTTGGTTTTACAAACTTTGATAAAATCCCTAATCAGTGAATAAAAATATGGATTAATAGAATTTGTTGTTGCAAAATTGTATTAAGAAAATTTAATGATGGCAAAATGGAGCATGTGAAAAAGCAAAAATTTCATTCTGAAGAAAGAAAAGTAATTGTTATTCATAAGAAAGATGATGGGATACCAGCCACTAAATGTGAGTTAAATATGACAGCTTGTTTTATATAACATCATGCATAACTATGCAATGTTTAGTGTGTACAGTGCAAGGCTGTGCATGATGCTGAATTCGAGCAATTCTTTAATTTTTTAAGTGAAAGCAGATCACTGAGAATGGTCTAGTTCTCTGATGAAGAGTGCATGTGGAAAAGAATGCAATTCTCTGATGTTTTTTAAATGAAAAAAAAAAAAAAAAAATTCAGAGAACTGCATAAATTCAGCATCACACTCAGCTTCAACACTGTGCACATTAAACATCATACATATTACACTATGTATTATTGCTGAAACAAGATAATTTTTTCCCACAAAGCTTGATGTATTGTTCACCATCTAATTAGATTTTGTGCGAATGTCTATGTTTGACGCTAAGTGCCACCCCAATTATATAAAAGTAACTCTTCAGTTAAGATAGTTTAAACTTATAACAAATTTATTAGGCATAATCCGATAGTAATTTAAGGGGCACTGTATGCACTAATGATAACACTAAATACATACACTAATGATAACAAAGTTATAACTGTCTCCTTAACATCTTTAAAATACAGAGCATGTTTACAGATTTTTAGAATGATTTGGGGGCTGTTTAATACATGTTTAAAATATAAAGAATATTTTTTAAATGCTCAGTTTGGTAGCCTTTTTTCTGGACTGTAAGTCTGCATCAAGATTTCCACAACAGAAGGGATTTTTGATAATTTTCCGGCAGCACTGATTTACAGACTTCTTCCATTACTTTTCAGAGGACATCAATCCTGGTGTTTTGCAGTTAGAAAAGAGACCAAGAGCACAATAGTCCATAAGTAAAATGTCAGGAGGATTTCACAGAAATATGTTGAAAAGCTATTTATGCAATACCTATATCAGTCTTCATTTTTGAAGGAGTGCAGTGGTACTTCTCGAAGTATGACTCGAGAAGCCTTTGTTTTTAAGTTTCACTTTTTGAAAGTCATCAGGCCAAAGAAATGGAATTTTTTCTATAAATATCAGACGTATAAATTTCCCTTGATAGATCTTTGAGTTGATTTTAGCATTTTCCCTCAATCTTCTTATTTAAAATTTTTCACTGTAAGAGAATCCTGTGAGAATAATAAACCCTTTCCTGAAGTGTCTTTTGCATTGACAAAACCAGATCTGTACATTTTTTTCCTCTTTGTTTTTAATAAATATACCTTTATCAAAAACAAAGAGAAGACCTGTTTTTTTTTTTTTTTTTTTTCTCTCTCTCTCTCTCTCTCTCTCTAGTCACTTAGGTAAATTCATGCTTCATCCAAGTCACAATGTATTTCCATTTATCCTTTGCTGAATACTTGTAATACAAGGTTCTACAAACTGCCCTTGTTGAGCAATGTGGCTCAGGAAGAGCTGGTAAACATTAAGTTTTTAGCTTTTTTAAATTATTAAATAGTTCATTATTTTATTTGTTGCTGCTGCAGATATACTTAATTACTCTGATACTGATTTCTACACCCGAAGATTTTCTCTTATCATTGATTTAACTTTAGAAGTAAGAAAAGCAGTACATACCATTTTTCGGTATTCGTTTAAAGTCTTTTTTCCACATACAAGTAAATATTGAGAGTTTTCCCCTTCTAATTAATTATGTTGCTTATTTTGTCCAGAGAAATTTTAATATCATTCATTTCACAATGTTTTTAAATTATGGAATAGGAATACTTCTCTTCAGAAAGTGCAAAAACATATCCTTCAATCCACAGCTTTCTACATGTGACATTTTGAAAGACGAATAAATTTAAAAGCAGCAAATGATATTTCTCATTTAAATCATAAGCCATCACCAGAAATTGTTATTCTAAAACTTTTGCTTTTTTTAAAAATTCTTTATCAAAATCATTCTAAAAATGTGTATACCCTTTATAAATAGAAAGTAGAAGGAAATATTTCAACTTGATATTAAACTGCAGTTTATATTCAAATCCTCTGCAGTTCAATATTCATCGTAAATTGCTTAAAATACTCTAGTAATTATTGTGGAACCACTTGAAGATATATTTGTTGCAGCATGTAATTAATTATTTCTATACTATTAGATCAAGTATTTTAAAATCACTTATCATTTCAAATGATTTCATTACATGAATGTCTAACATTACCAGGAAAACTAAAAAAATTATTTTCATCCAATAAACAAAATACAATTTTTACATAAAACTGATAATAACAATTAATACAAATGATTCTTTTGTATTCACAGTTTCTGCTAATCTTCAACATATATTTTTAAAAAATGAAAAGCTTGGTTGCATAGAATTATCCTAAAAATATTTCATGTTTATTATTATTTCTGTATCATGGATATGAAATTAACAGGAGCAAACAATGAGAAATCTCCAAACACATTACCCTATGAACTAAAAAATGAGAAACTACTGTAACATAAATAACATGCAGATAAACAGCAAAAATGAGATCTTATTGAGCAATTAGAAATGATAGTAACTTCACAATAATAATAATGATAATAACAATAATACTGATAACATATACTTTTTCCTCACTATTAGTACAATAATGTATGGGAATTTATCAATTTAAATATATTAATAGCATTACAGTTTAACAATAAACATTACCATACACCAGGTAATTTGAAATTTTTACAAATGAAAATAAATACATTAGTTTTAAATCATAAAAGTTGACACTTTCATTTCATACAATCAATAGCATTTTAACTTACCTTTAAGTAAAATACTCTAAGTAAATATAATAAAAGTAGAATAACTGTAGCAGTCCATCTTGAAACAACATAAGGAGTCCAGCAATCTAAAGTATACTGGTACTTCTGTAAAGATAATTGATAAGCAATAATTTAGTTTTTAAAAAATAAGTCAAATTTAGAGAAGTTATCAAAGCATTTAATGCAAGATAAATAGGAGGCCTTCGTGATCAATAAAAATATTGACACATGCAGTAATTTTAATATTTAATTTGTGCTCTAAAGCTGCGCTGTTCAATTTAATGTTTTATAAATGTTAAAATATATATATATCATTATAATAAATTATTATAATGTTAAAATATACTATTATTATTACTTTGCATATTTTACCATTTTACTTCATTTTTTTATCGACGTTCTTAGTTATCTTCTAAAAGGCTCACACACATTTTAATTAAAAAAATTACTCTTGGAACGGTGCACTTTCTTATGCATGTAACCAACAGTTAAGACATCCCTAAGTTGCAAGATAAGTCTCTCATACTATGTAGATACATGTTATAAAAGCAAACCTATTACAGTGACCAAGGAAAGCAAGTTAATTGTTTTAGAATTAGATAACATTAGTTGTGGCATATTAATAGTATAAACCAGTTACAAGATTTTACTTTAATTGATTGCCACATGAAAATGATTGAAGATTTTACTTTGATTGCCACGTAAAAATGGCTGCACTTTTGCATGACCTATTGCAGCTCAAAAACTAATGTTCACACCAGCCAATGTCATTTGGATAATGCAAATATTACTTCCAAACTGAGGATGAATGAAAGATAATCCTATAGGGTTATAAATTATCAACTGTCATTCCAGTAGATGAGTCTTGGATTTCTTTCCTTAAAAGCTGAGGGTCTGTAAAAAATTTTGGACATAAACGTAACTATCACAGAGTCCTTTTTTGTTTAAGCATGATAATACAGTCAAAAGTCTTTAATCTGGACTCTTTGGGACTTCGATTCCGGATTATCGGTTTGTCCAGATTATAGATCATCAGTTTAAATCTGGTAAGATGGCATGCAGAAATTATAAAATTAAAAATATGAAACCATAATTTATGAAATAAAGAGCAATTATGATCTAAAGGGTATCAAAATTTACAAAAAAAAAAAAAAAAAGCTTAATATTTATTTGTTTACTTTATTAAACATTTCTTTCAACGCGCGCATGCGTAAAGCATACATTACTCATAGTCGAAATTAGAAAATTGCAACCAGAAAACTATTAATGTGTATTCGTGATATTTATAACGACGAGGAAATTGATTTAAATTATATCGGAGTACATCTAGATGAAACACTACATTTAGTGAGATATTATAAGCCAAATAAAATAAAAACATATGCCCTGAAGATGAAGATAGTGCTGACAGATCAACTTCCAGTTCATTGTGCGCCGCGACGTCCCCCCCCCCCCCCGCAGAGCAGTGGGAAATTGATAAACAGATTTCGGAATGGTTACAGAAACAAATCACCTCTCTGTCACTTTCTTCATGCCTTTATCCATTTTTTGCAGCAATTCCACGTTTTGTTTAATGGACTTCGAAATATGCTTTCGCTTTGTAGATCCTTTGGCAGCTTCAGAATTGGAAACTCTTTTTGACATAATTGAAAGTTCAAGCTTACTTTTTATAAAATTGCTCTGACAGTCTGCAAAAAATAATAAGCCGGATCCAATTCAAAGATTAAGGAACAACACAATCTGCAACATTAACTGAAATAGATAATTAGATAATTTTAGCTTAGCTTATACTGTCCGTTATACATTAACCGTGCATGTGTAAACGTATTATTCGCATGCGTAAACGCATTATGTGTTTACGCATGCCCAAAAAATTTGTAGCTTTGAGGTCCAAATAGTAGATCATTCTGGATTAAAGACTTTTGACTGTATACTTATTAACAGTCATATACTAAGTTCTGACTTCAGCCCTTGGAACATCTTTAACATTTGCTACAACACTCATTGGCTGTTAGATACAGTTATATTACTTGATGATACAGACTATGTATGATGAATTTTTCACTCAAGAAAGAGTTTCATAAAGGATAAAAGTGGAAGAAAGCATAAAATTAAAAAGACATTTAACTGCTGATGTCTGGTGACCTATCACTACCCAGTGTATTAAATTTATCTTCTATTAGTTAAAAGAGGACTTATAACTAACATGCAAAAAACAGCAAGTGCTAAAGAAATTTACTTTAAAGTTAATTTTTGATTATCAAAACCCCCTCTCCATGGCAATTGTATACTGAAATATAAATTTATCAACTTTTAATACTAAATTGAGTAGTACTACACTGGAAAATATTTATGCACATATTATTAATTATATCAAAGCATATGGAAGTAAAAACTACAAAATATTATCAGTCAAAGTAAATACCATACGAAATGGAATAAATTACACTGGTGTGCAAAACTTAAGCAACAGGTGTTCTTTTTGCCATAACTCTACGAGAAATCTTTTGAGAGACATGAAATTCAGAAATGTGAGACAGCAGTTTGTATTTAAATGATGATGAAACCATGGGTGCACAAAAATGAATACAGTGTAAACAGTATGGAATCAAACAAAAAAGGCTTTATTGAACTCATAGTATCGTTACAAAAGACTGTCTGTACAAAAGGAAGAACAACAAGCACATATTCCTTATCATGGGATATGTCCTCCCATTACTGCAGTGGTTGCTTCGCACCGTCTCTCCATACTCAACACCAGACTGTCCAACAGATCTTGAGGTAAGACTGTCCATTCCTCAATCACCATCTGTTTCAGTTGTTCAGTGTTCCCGGAGAATATAATCTTGCTGCAAGCCATCTCCCCAAAGCAGCCCACACATGTTCTATTGGATTTAAATCAGGGGAATTACATTGGCCAATCCGAGTGATATCTTCACCGTGATGTTACTGGAATGAAACTATCGTGGGATCCTGGAATGAAACTGACCTCTCTCCAAATCAGCAGGCGTTGAGAATCGCTTGTGGCACTCACTGATAAAGAGAACACTACTCCCATTTGACAAGATGCGCAGTTTTCGTGCTCCTTTCACAATTCTAAAGTGTCATCGATGGCTAATTTTCAAAGGGATGCAGCATAGAGGATGGTGGGCGAATAGGCTACCTTTGTGAAGGCGTCTGGACGCAATAAACCGCAACACTTGTCGCCCCGTTGCTGTATACAGTTGTTGAGCTATCGCACTTGCTGACTGGTTTCGGGCTCTTTTTACCTGCAGGACAATATATCGGTCATCCACTGCAGTTGTTTTCCTGGGACAGCCACCACCAACCTTTCTAACAGCTGTATTTATGGTTTGGAAGGTTTTCCAAGTGCGTGAAACGACACTTTTGTTCATCCCGAACTCTTCAACTACACTGGTCATACTACGCCCCTCCTCCAGCTTTTCCATCATTCTCCAGATGTGAAGTCATCCAGGTGATTTCTTCTAGCCATATTTCACAAAAGGACCCACATGCACTTGCAGTGAATGTATTTAATTGCATCTATGTCCTTCCTTTTATTGTAGACTTAAGCCCGCCGACCGCACGTGTTTTGCGTACGCTCATGTCGCCCGTAACGTTTTGTTCTTGACATTTGCATGCATATGAACTTTCTACTGAATTGCTTGTTCATTGTACTTACCGCAAGAGCCTCTTTTCTGCAATTTCATAGCTATCTGATTAAAATTTATATGGTGGCTTAAGTTTTGCACACCAGTGTAAAACTTTGCTACAGCACTAGTTTAACTATCAACATATACAATGATACCTCAGTGTAACTTATTAATCTGTTCCAGATCAGCAGAATTTAGCAGAATTTAATGTTGATTGTTTATTCCATATTGAATACGACAACAGAAATTTAACAGTTACCTTTTAATGTGCGTTACAAGGACAACCACTTGCTCCTGAATGACTTTATCGGACACTTGCACATAAACAGCCTTCCAAATACAAGCATTACCATGTTCTCATGATTTACAATACTCGTACAGTTACGTCAGTTCTGGATAATTAATGACCGCTCCTTGTATAATTTATACAAAAAGAAAACCCTTAAAAAATAAAATTCTCCAATATAGCTGCTAAGATGAAATTATTTTTCTCCCTTTTATTTATTTTTAAGTATTATACTGAATAGATACTATTTTTATTTTTGATATAAATTGGCTATCATCACATTAGGGAATTTCTTTCACATTTTTGAAATAATTTAACATTTAAGCTCAAATATTCCCTTGAAAAGTCGGAATCCTTCTGTGCAATTAACAACAATTTTAATTATTTAAATTTACTTTTTTTTATTTATTAAGCATTTATAAATCACAAATTCAGATATATTAGTTACAGATTTCCATTTTTGATTTCCAAAATGGTACACCTTCTGCAACTAAATTTTCTTTATCATTTCCTAGGAGATAATCTAATTATTAATACATTTTCTATGGGTTGTATTGAACAAATAATTATATTTATTATCCTTGATATTGGAGTGGCAATGCTATATTTTGCATCATATAACCTGACCATTTTCACTGAGCAACATCAGAAAATGTTTCAAAATTATAATTCTGAAAGTTTTACCAGTAATAGATGTATGAAAAATTTATAGAGAAAGAAACTGTAATAGTAAGCTGGAGTGCGAAGCTGAAATGGACAGAACTGTATTTAAATTATATATCTTTGTGAATTGAGAATAAAATTTATGTTTTACTAAGAGGCTTATCTGTTATTTCGATAAAAACTGCAAACTATATTACAATATGTATGTATAATGGAAATTTACATCTTGATTTTAAGTAAAGCATAAATCTACAATATTTTAATGTTTTACAAACTGAAAGAATATTAATATTTACCTGTGACAGCCACTGAAATAATCTCGCAATCATTCCTTTCTTTGGAGATGAATCAACACATACATGTCCTTCAGTTTTCAGTTCAGGCTAAAATGTTAAAGCATTTTAATAAAATGAAACAAGAATAGAAATTAATAATATATATATATATATATAGATTATTATTATTATAATGTATATAATATATTATTAAATGTATATTATATATATATTTTTCTTTTTTTCCTTTTTTAGAATTTAAATTTGCTTTTTTCTTTTTTACTTTTATACATATTTGTTAAGAATTTGAATTTGTTTAAATTATATATATATATATATACTGCATTTTTTAAAATATTTTGCCCCCTTTGTGTTCAGTTATTTTATTGTCTGAAAATCAAGAGGAGAAAACTACCCAAATAATTTAATGTTTGAAGGATGGCATGAACAGCAGGAATGTAACAAATAAAAAGTAGCCATGAATAAACAACAGGTAATTATCACAGTATAAACACTTCAAAAGAAACCTACATTCCATTGAAAATACATAGTAATATTACCACTACAATATCTAATAAGATATCCTTCATCTCTACTTCCCTGTAACTCGAATCATGCCTATTCTTAATTGTCTCTGCTACTCCTTAGGTCTTATATCATCCGTAAATAATTAGAGAAGGTGAATGTGCAGCTAACTTGATGAAATAATGGACTGAATATCAGTTAATGTTTGCTTTGAAGTGATTAGTCAGTAGGCTGACATAAAGTTTAACAGTTGGAAGGGAAAAGTTGAATAACTTTTATAGGTAGTTTGCGGAAATTTATTATAGTTAGTAAGACGAAAACAATTACTACATAGATAAATACATTTTAAAATTTAGGGAACTTTGTTCTCTGGATGCATTGAAGAAGGGGAAAAATATGTAAATAGTTTTTTTAATTTTTAGAAACTGGTGCTAAAAAGCTAGGAGGGAAAGTATGTAAGGAAACACTGTAATTAACAGAAACTTTTATTACTTATTTATTATCCCATCGACCATTGGCAGAAATTTTGGCAATAAGTGCCAATTGAGAATCATTATTGTGGAATTCTAAAGGAAGTGATCATCCATAACTGGTGCACGTCACACTACTTACAGACAACAGGATATACATGAGTACCCTTTTACATACATCGGTAAAGAACTAGTATGTGATATACCATACATCCTGGTTTTTTAGTGTTGTTCAAGGTTGCAAAAATGTCCGGGGTTTGAGAAGACTGGCGAGTTTTTTTTATATATATATATATAATTTTAGAGCTATATGTTCGATATCGTGCTTTTAAAATTCTCCTCCCACCGTTGCATTTCTAAACCTACCTTGATGCAAGCACTGTCGATTTTAACGGAGGCGTGACTATGTCCCGCCACAACATTTTACTTAGATATTTGGCAATACAACAGGGGCAATGCGTTTATGTTGTTTTTGTGTGTGAAGTAACTCGCTTACACGGCTTTGATCTTTTTATCTCTATTTGTTTTTTTGTCTCATCATTAGAATGGGCAAAAATGTGTATTTAATGTTAACTTGAAACAGGAATACAAATTTTTGAAATTATGTAATGCCAGTACCAATTAGTGTGTTTATTGCACACTATGTACTGGAGAATTTTCTGTTGCACATAAAGGAAAGGGCGATATTGAAGACCATGTGGAAACAGCTAAACATAAGAGGAGTGCTACTACTTCAGCAAATGTAAGAGATTTTATTAAAGCCAAAGAGAGTAATAGCAATAACAATGATCTTAAGTGTACTACTAAAGAAGCTTCATTTCATACCATACTGCTAGCCACGAAGTCAGTATCAAAACTGCGGCACATCTAAACTGGTTAAAACTAAATCAGACTGCATATCTACACTGGTTAAAAAGTTATACGACCCCAAATTTTCATCTGCTAGAAGAAAAACAGACGCATTTATTGTCAAAGTTATTTTGCCACTTATACATATCTGATAATGTATTGCATTCTTTGGAAAATTTTAATTATGTAATAGTAATGATGGATAACTCAAACAGAAGTGAAGTAAAACTTATTTCAATTGTAAGATATTTCAACCTGCAAGAAGGAATTCAAGTTAAGCTTTTAAATTTCGATAAAGTGTCAGGTGAAACTGCTTAAATTTTGACTCAGTATATTTTGTAGTGCTTGAAGAAATATAAACTTGAAGAAAAGTTGGTTTGCTATACTGCCGATAAAACTAACAGTAATTTTGGTGGTGTGAAGAGAAAGGGGAAGGAAAATGTGTTCAGAAAAGTTCAAAATGATTTAGATAAACTTATTTTAGGAATTGGCTGTTCAGCACACAATGTACACAATTCAGTACAAACAGCATGTATTTCTCTACCCCTGAACATAGAAGTTATTGTTATAAACATTTTCACATATATACGGTAAGAGTAACGAATTTCAAAGAGTTCTGTGAATTTGTGGAAACAGATTACAAAAAAGTATTATGTCATAGCAACGCAATGCTTCTTAGTTTGTTACCTGCAATAGATAGAATTCTTTCCATTTTTGATGGCCTAAAATCATACTTTTTATCTTGTGACAAATGCCCAAAATTATTATTTGAATTTTTTGTTTTTTTAATCTAGAAAGTGAATTGTATTTGAAATTTTGGTACTATTCCGTTTTGAGGACCATAAAAAATAGCCAAACTATCGTTGATGCCAGTGCTGCCAAAAATAATTGCGGCAACCCTAACGTAAGAAAGGAAGTATAATAGTAAATAACTATTTAAAGATTATTGTTTTCATTTATATGGAAGGTTAATTTCATATAATATTTTTTTATTATTATAATTTATATAAAAAAGGCTAAACATAACTGAATGGAAGCATAAGAGTAAATAACTATTTAAGATCATTATTAAAATTTATATAAAAAAAGGCTAAACATAACTGAAGGGATTCCTGCATCGCTATTTCGTTACCGAGTTATCCCTAAAGCAAAATTTCATCTCGTTCGTTGTTCAAACATAATTTTCTATAATAAATGATGCCTTTTCTTTGAAAAAATTCCATTGCAGATTCTTCGTCATGGGCAATTCCCAAATTGTTAAATCCATAGGATATCAAAAAAAAAAATTTAAATCAAAAAAGGACTTAATTAGTATTTCAATGGCATCTTAAGAAATATAGAACTATCCAAACTTACACAATTTGAAATCAGTGCCGCTAGATTTCGCGCGCTGTTAAATGGGCGCGTTTGCTAGATTTGGCGCTTTCGCGCATACATTTTCGCTGCAATTTTCTACGGTCCTCAAAACGGAATAAAGTCAAAAGTCTTTAATCCGGAATGATCTATAATCCGGACCTCAAAGCTACAAACTTTCTGCGCACGCGCATATGCGTTTACACACGTGTGTTTAATGGATAATGGACAGTATAAGCTAAGCTAAAATTATCTATTTCAGTCAAGGAGGTTAGAATACAGTTACTGTTGCAGATTGCGTTGTTCCTTAATCTTCTAATTAGATCCAGCTTATTATTTTTTGCAGACTGTTAGAGCAATTTTATAAAAGTAAGCTGGAACTTTCGCTTATGACAAAAAGAATTTCCGATTCTGGAGTTGCCAAAAGATCTACAAAGCGAAAGCAAGTTTCGATGTCCATCAAACAAAAAGTGGAATTGCTGCAAAAAATAGATAAAGGCATATCCTTTGTTTCTCTAACCACTCCGAAATCTGTTTATCAATTTCACATGCTCTGCGGGGGGGGGGGGGGGACGTTGTGGCGCGCAATGAACTGGAAGTTGATCTGTCAGCACTATTCTTATCTTCAGGGCAGATGTTTTTATTTTATTTGGCTTATAATTCCTTACTAAATGTAGTATTCACTCGATGTACTCCGTCTTGTATGATTTAAATCAAATTCCTCATCATTATATATACATGAATACACATCAAATAGTTTTTGGTTGCAATTTTCTAATTTCGACTATGCGTATGGATGCTTTATGCATGCGCGCATTGAAAGAAAGTTTAATGAAGTAAACAAATAAATATTAAGCTCTTTTTTCTTTTTTTGGAAATTTTGATACACTTAGATCATAATAGCCTTTATTCATAAATACGTTTCATTAATTTTAATTTTTGCATGCCATCTTACCAGATTTAAACTGATGATCTATAATCAAAAAAAAAAAAGAAGATAATTCAGATTCTCCGAAGTCCGGATGAGTCCGGATTAAAGACTTTTGACTGTAGTACCGAAATTTTTGTATGGTACTCTACAGTTACTTAAAAATGTAGTTCTGAAATTGGAAGCTAATTCTATCACAGCAACAGAAGCATTTCAAACATATTCTGAATTAATTTGTCAACTTCAGGAAAGAAAAACCCACACATTTATACCATCTTCTGCCAAAGAATGTCTACGCACTGTAAAATAAGATAATGATGTTCAGGAACAAAAATTCTTCTCAAGTGTAGAAAATATTTATAATTTTAGTCTGATTTAGAAGAGAGTGCACAGGTTGTTAATGCAATTGTAAAAGATTCCATAAATATCGATGACTTATTTGATGAACGTACATTGTTGAACCATATAATTCAAAACCAAAGGGTAGGTTGTGAAAACGTATCAGATACTATTGAAGAGAAGTGGAAAGCAGTTTTTAAAGTGTTTCCAAAGACTTATATTTCAAGTTGTAATATTTTTAAAATGGTCGAGTTTGCAATGTCTTTGCCTGGAACATCTGTTTCAGTTGAGAGAGTTTTTTCAATTATGGGGAACATCTGGCCTGCAGAAATGGGTAGGCTTTCAGTATCTACTGTTAAACATCTGCTAAATGTTAAAATTAATTCAGAACTTTCTTGTGAATTTTATAATGTAATTAAAACAAACAAACCATTTCTGGAAAAAGTCATGTCCATTGAAAAATACTACTGAATAAATATAGTTTAATGTTTTAGTAAACTGTTAAGACTTTTAAATAATTTCAAAAATATGTTCTGGGTTAGTGGTTCCAACCCAGGACATATTAAAAATATGTCCCGTGTTGAACCCTAAAAAATATGGTAAGCCTAGATATACCCCTTTTAGTTTATATACTTTTAGGACAGCACAACTAAACCATTATTTTTAAATATAAAAATAAAT